CTCCTCCCTCTCATGCTCTCTGTCTCTCATTCTCTCAAATAAATTAAAAAAAAAAACAAAATGGCTATACCATTTTCTATCCGTACCAGCAGTGTGTGAGAGCTCCAGTTTTTCTATGTTCTTGCTAACGCTTGGTATTATCAGATTTTTTTTTTTTTAGTTTTAGCCACTTGAGTGCTTGTGTAGTGGTCCTCTGTATTTCCATATGCATTTTAGACTGCCAGTTTCCACAAAAATGTCTACTAGGATTTTGATTAGGGTTGTGTCAAATTCTCAATCAGTGTGAGGAACGTTGATGTCTTGATGGTTCCACGCCTACCAGCTGATCACAAGGCACAGCTCTGTTTAGTCTTCCTTGATTTTTACTTATTTCTAGTTCCAGTGTATAAGTCTTGTACATCTTCTGTGAAATGTACCCATAAGCGTTTGATATTTTTGGTGGTGTTATAAGTAGTAGTATAACTTAGTTTCTGGTTTATGCTAGTATTTAGAAGTAGGATTATTTATGTATCACTCTAGTATGCTCTCTTGCTAACTTCACTTCTAGTAGCTTTTTGTAGATTCCATCAGATTTTCTACATAGACAGTCATGTCGCCTATGAACAGAAATGGTTTCACTTCTTCCTTTCTAATCGGCATGCCTTTTATTTCTTTCTCTTACCTCCATGCCCTGTTCAGAACCTTCAGAATGATGGTGAGTAGAAGTGGTAAAAGCAGACGCCCTTGTTTGGCGGCTATTCCTTGTGGGAAGAGCCTTCAGTCTTTTGTCATTGAGTATGGTATGAGGTGTGGTTTTCTCAAAAATACCCATTGTCAGGTTGAGGGAGCTCCTTTCTTTCCTAGTTTGCTGAGAAATTACCAGAAGTACCTGTTGGATTTTGATGAATTCTTCTATGACTGTTGAGATGATCATACGACTCTTGTTTTTTCAGTTTATTGCATTGATTGACTTTTCAGATGGTAAGACCATCCTGCAGACATCGGATAAATCTGACTTGGTAGTGGTGTATTATTTTTTATATATATTGTTGGAGTTGTTTTGCTAATATTTCATTAGTTTTTGCATCTGTGATCACAGAAGATAGTGCTGTGGTTTTTTTTGTACTATATTTGTCTGCATTTGGTTTCAGAGTTGCAAATATTCCCTCCTTTTCGTTTTCTATAAGACTTTGTATAGAATTGGTATTTTTTCCTTAAGTGAGAGAATTCCTAGTGAATCGTTAATGTCGGCTGTCTTAGTGGGGAGCTCGTAAACTACACATTTCTTTAGTGGCTATAGAACTATTCAGGTCACTTGTGTCTTCAGGGTCACTAATCTTCTGCAACGTTTAATCTGCCAGGACTGCCATCTGGTGAAATTTTTGTCTCCTGCACTGGTTTTTCTCTCCAGGTGCTCACTTTGAATGTTTTCTGTACCTTCCCTGTCGCTAGGTAACTTCTGAACACGGAGAATAGACTTAGAAAAGCTGTTTCAGTGTCAGTTCCAGGCCGCTTTTGACTGCTTTTCCTCCCCACTAAGGGTTGTGTTTTTCTTCTTTTTTGCATGTCAGATAATCTTTGATTGTCAAACATTGTGAATTTTCATTAGTGTGATATTTTTGTATCTCTATAAATATTCTGAGCTTCACTGCAGACCTATTAAATTATTTGGAAGCAGTTTGATCTTTTAGAATCTTACTATTAAGATTTGCTAGGCAGGACTAGAGCAGTATTTTGTCCAAGGCTAATTGCCCCACGGCTGGGCAAAACCTTCCTGGATGAGTACTCAGTGCCTAGTATCTTGTGATTTTCCACTCTGGCATGTGGGGGGAGGTGTTATTCCAGGTCCCCTCTGGGTACCAGACCCTGTTGTCTCTAAACTTGAGTTTCCTCACACAGAGGTCTTGGTCAGTGCTCTGCTGAATCCTCAGGGAGACACTTGAGGTCTCCACTCATCTCCAAGCTCCTCTCTGGCCGGATCTCTTCCCTCTGGGCCTTCGTCTTGGAGACTGAAGCCTCAGCTCACGGCACCTGCTCCGCAGCCTGGAAACAGGGATGTAGGAAGTCAGAGTGTTGGGGCTTGTTTCCCACCTCCCAGAGATCACTTTCTGTCATAGGCCAATGTGCAGTGCTTTGAAAACTGGTGTTTCAGTTTTGTTTTGTTTTTTGAGAGAGAGGGCAGGGTGGTGGCAGAATGGGGCAAAAAGAGAGGGAGGGAGAGAATCTTAAGCAAAGCAGACTCCACGCCCAGCACAGAGCCCAACACTGGGCTCAGTCTCACAACCCTGAGGTCATGACCTGAGCTGAAATCAAGAGTTGAACCCTTAACTGACTGAGCCACACAGGTGCCCCTCATATATTTTGTGTGGTTTTTGGTAAATTCAGGCAGAAGGGCTAGCCTAGTCTCTTTATTTCATCTTGACCAGAAGTAGGAGTCCTGTCAAATGTCTAAATTCATAGGTTTTTAGTTTAATAAAATATACCTTGCATGTAGGGACTCTTTTCCTGGAGATTTGACTATCTGGTATCGATGACCCATTATTTTTCTTGGTAGAATGACCTTGCCGTACCTTTTACCCAGCAGGATGTGTCGTGATGGTCACCATAGATATTATTGTAAACGCCTTGGGTGTCCATGTGCATGTCTTGAGACCCTGAGGGCCAGAGGTGCTTACCCTCAAAATGGGATTACACATTCTAGGAGGCACCGCAGGAGAGCCCGCTGGGGATCAGTTGATTGACTTACAAAGGGGCGTGGGCACAGGCAGCTCCTGGCCACTCACAGAGATGTTCCCCGGGGAGTTCAAGTACAGGGCTATGGAATGAGCTGCTCAGATCTTTTGGAAGCAAATGGGACAGAAATAGTAAGTGACGTCATTGTGTAGTTATTGACCGCTTGTATTATCCTGATCTGTGATGAAGTAGGCAGTGCATTTGACCTGTTGTTTCGAAATAAAGTCTGTTTTTGCTGAGGTGGTGTGGTATATACTTGGCTGAAGAATCTTACGTGAAAGTAACCATTCTTACCAAAGTATGAAAGTTTTTTTTTTTTAAGATTTTATTTATTTATTTGACAGAGAGAGATCACAAGTAGGCAGACAGGCAGGCAGAGGGAGAGGGAGAAGCAGGCTCCCCGCTGAGCACAGAGCCCGATGTGGGGCTCAATCCCAGGACCCCGGGATCATGACCCGAGCTGAAGGCAGATGCTTAACCATCTGAGCCACTCAGGTGTCCCCCAAAGTATGAAAGTTATTTGGGGTTTTTTTTTTTTTTTTTGAGGAAATTTTCAGGATGTTTTGATGTTTATTAGTTTTCCCAAAGTGGGGTTATCTCCCCACCAGGGCATCCCTTACCCAGATAGACCCTGTAGGAGGCCTACCTAGCACCCCGTGTGTCTGCTGTAGTCTGCCTGTTGTTTCCCTGTCCCTCTGTTCAGTGAAGAGGGAGGCTCAAAGTGTGGTGATGGGAAAGTCTTCACAAACACACACATGCACTGTCCACAGTCACTTCTCTCCTACAGCGCTGGGAGGAGAATATTTTGAATGCATAGATCTTTTCAGTCTGTTTTTAAAGACCTGAGTTTAGACCTGTAATCACTACCTGCGGAAGAAAGTTTATCTTGTGTGTCTCCAGTCTATACGTTTTAGTCCTGTTTGTCAGCCTGATGAAACAACAGAAAACTAAAGACTGCATTTTCGAGAAGGGTTTCAGAAAAGGGCTAATGTTGATTTCAGGCAGTTTTGATGCCCAGAAACAGAGCCGTCATGGGGGACTTGCTGTTCTGAGGAAGGCTGTGCTGTCTCGAGTCGGACTAAGGTCTCTGAAATCCTCCTGCCTGGTGATAATTTACTGAAGGAAAATGTGGATTTAGGTATTGAATGCATTAATAGAATGGCTCAAATGGATGAGACAGAGTGAAAAGGACTGGATAGTAGACACATATAAACACATTATTTGATGGACCAATTTGACAAAGTAACAAATTAACAGTGAACTCAATACATAAGTTCTTCAAAAAACAAGAGAATCTGCAAACTCAAATCTGTTTGGCTTAATAAAAAGGATTTCATAGGGGCGCCTGGGTGGCTCAGTCGTTAGCGTCTGCCTTCAGCTCACGTCATGATCCCAGGGTCCTGGGATTGAGCCCCGCATCAGGCTCCCTGCTCAGTGGGGAGTCTGCTTCTTCCTCTCCCTCTGCTGCTCCCCCTGCTTGTGCCCGTGCTCTCTCTGTATCAAATAAATTTTAAAAAAAAGGAAGAAAGGATTTCATAAATCAGTGGTGTCAGCACTCAGCAGGGTCAGTCGTTTCTGGAGGTGGCTTACGTCTAACACCTAGGACGGGGAGTTTGCTGTGCAGTCAGAGCTGGTAAATATGGCCACACTGGTCCTGGTTTTCCTGGAAGCCCTTGTTCTATGGGACTTCCCTATCTTAATTTATCCACTCAGATCTGAGTTCTGATTGGATTTTTACGTTCTTTACTCATTTCTTATAGGTAGGAATCTGGTGGCATAGAGCCCCATCGGTGCCTTCTTCCCAAGTGGTGAGCTCATCACCTTTCAGTGGGCCTGCCATTGAGTAGGGTCCATCTTCAGGACTGGTGATTGCTTAACGGGGGGCTAACGCTGCCGCCTTCCACCCTGAGCCGCGCGAGTGTGTGTGTGTCAGAGGGCGATGTGCCGGTCTCGCTGTGAAGTGGGCTTTGCGGTGGGCCCCGGCCAGTGCGCCTTTCTTTATAGGGCGTGGCCCGGCGTGTGATTTTCCCCAGAGCTGGGGGTTAGTTCTCATTTTCCCTTCATCTACATAAATAGTTGTTGGTGCCAGCCTGCTTTTCTCCTTTATGATTTCTCACGCTATGGCTCCTTTTACTCTTCGGTCTCTCTAATCTTAGCTTTGGCCCTCAAGGCCCTTACGTGAAACATCATCTTCCAGAACCACGTACCCTCATTTCATCGATGCTGTGCTTTCTCCCCACCCCACAGCTCACTTTAACACCATGTTGGGTGTTCCGCCCCCAGGGGACAAGTGCGCTCAGGGCTGAGGGCTTGGCCCTGCAAATAAACAGGCATTTGATGCTGCCATGCTGGGCTGTCCTAACACAGACAACAGCCTGGAGGGCTTGGGCGTGGAGGCCTGGCCGACTTAGATTAGAGAGCCGAGCTGTGGGCGGTTCAGACAAGCAGTTTCCACCACGGCTAAGTGGGAGCAAGGAAAACGCCTTTATCCTGACACAGGTGCTGCTTGCCCACCTCTAATCACTGGATTACTTAAATTCCTCTTCTCTGTTAGGACTCTTGAAAATAGGAGTGGTGAGTGGCGAATGTGAAAGGCATCCTCCCCGTACAGGTCAGATTCAGTACTTTATAGTCCAGAGAAGGCATTTCTAAATCCCAAAGTACTAGTTAAATCTCGCAAACTTACTCTGGGGCGGGGGGCTTCTATGTGGGGGAGCTCCTGTAATAGAGAAGTTGGCCAGGGCCCTGAGAGAGCGGGGAGGCCCCTCTGTGGTGCCTGTAATATGAAGACACCAGCAGTGACTCAGCAAAGACTCGGAGAAGGGACAGCGCCCACAGCAAACCTGGCTCCTCTGGGTTTTCCTGGTGGTGGTAAGAGGCCCCCAAATTCTCAGTCTTAAATACAAAATAAATCTGTGTGCTTCAGGTAAACAGTATGTCCAAATAGGATGAGAAACAGGGTTCTAAAATCAACAGTGACAGCATGTCACAACTGGGGAAAGACTGTTTTGAGGACATTGACTCCCACTTCAGGAATTAGAGCAAAGTGGTTCCTTCAGTGAGATGTTCTGTGAAGGACATGCTAAGCTTATCTTGATTTTTACCAAAGAAGATAGTTTTCTTTGTGTATTACATTAAAAACATTTCATGATAATTATGTTTTTGGGATCCCCTAATGACTAACTTACTGGAGCAAAAGCATTTGTCATCAGGTTATCTTGGGTTTCTTAAGAAGGAAAGGGATAGATCTCTGAATTACAAAGACAGGGCTACAAAGTGAAGGAATTGCAAAGTTTGAGAAAGAAATCAGGGATTTCAGCACAGAATGTAGACGAGCCTTTATTTCTAGAGCAAGACAAAATAGGGCCTTTCCTGTGGTGGTGGTGGTACACTGACAATAAACCTGCTAAAAAACAAGTTGTCCTTTTTAATGTCATCCTTGCCTGTTCTCCTTTAGCCTTTGTAAACATGGGTGCATTTCATAGCAGCGATTACTGTATTTATTTAACTCAGGTTAATATGTAGCAATTCTTGTAACATTAAGTATGGGGACTATTAATGTTTTAAGTATTACTACAATGAACAGCTTTATAAAAACGAGCTATCTTTATTTCCTCAGGAATATAGTATTTGAGTTAGATTTAGACTCACACTGTTTCTATGCAGTGTGTCCCCAATATTTTTTAAAATGGTTCAAAACTAGTCAGTAGAAAAAACGACATTGTTTTTAGTATCTCATTTGGATTGAATGAGATGCTGGTATTGTACATGAAATTTGGAAAATTTTATTAGAACTGGTGAGAATCTACAAATACTTTTTTTGATGTGGGTAAAAATATTTTAAGAAAATGTTTCTGCCCAAAAAACTTGTTTCTTCGTTAACATAAGACAAACAAGTAAATTTATACATGTACCCTGAGAAAGGTAAATAGGAAACAACACAACATAGCCTGTGTCTCCTGGGCAATCACGATTTTTCCTTGGCTCCTCATGGGCAGAAACTGCCCTGCTGCTCCCCCACCTGTTTGGAGGTGGTCACCGAGGGTCGGGGGCAGTGATTTCATGCCCTGCTTGCACATTAGAATCACACACCTTTCCTGCGTCCTCCACCTCAGAGGAAAGAGTGGGAGCGTCCAGCTTTGTTTTGAAGTCCCCAGGTGATGGTGGTGTGTGGCCAGGTTGAGAGGTTGCTGCGTTGTGGATGCTCAGACATGCAGCCACGCCATGTGGCTGTCATGGGCATGCTGTGAAATCCGTGTTCCACATCCACTGTTGTTACCATTCCTACCAAGCCCTGACTGGACCCCGGGGTTCAGACAGTAATCACCTTACACTGGACCCTGACTGTGTATTTGTAGGTTATGTAGGTATGAAGCGGGGGTGGGGGTGCCTCTCTGTGATGGTGGTGATTTTAGCTGTGTGTACACACAGGGCTTTTTAAAGACCTAATTTGTTATTCATGGTGAATAATTCACTTGTTCCTTTTGTTTTTAGGCTGTTGAAAATCTCTGTTCTCACAGAGTTTCCCCAACACTCTACAAACAGCTACGCCAAGTCTGTGAAGATCATGTCCAAGCACAGATCCTTCAGTTTAGAGAATATCCTTTTTTTTGGCTCATGAGTTTCTATTCATTACCTAAGTCCTTTGAGACTGAACATTAATAGGATAAAGAACTAATGAGTATCCTTAATATTAAAACAACAGCTTTCAAAATTCGCATTTATTCAACAAAACCTAACTTTTGTTTCATGTGATCTAATATAAGATTTTTTTTTTTCAGTGGAATTTTTACATTTAAATTACTCATTAAAGCAATAGAGTGTCCACTTACTGGGTCTGGTTAAAGTATTTAGGAAAAGTTCTGGAAAATGTCTTAATTTTATGCTGCCATCCTTTTATCTTGTTAAAAAAAACGCTCTCTGTTTTCTCTGATGTGTCGAATACCCACTGACTTGGTGATATAAGCCAGCACCCATTTGTAGGCTCAACCGCGTGTGTAGGGAGCCACGGCTGGGCTCGGTGGGTTCTCTGCTCAGCGTCTGGTTGGCTGAAAGCATGGGGCCAGCCAGTTGGGGTCTCGCCTGCAGCCGCCTTCCAGGCTCACCACCATGGTGCAGAGGTCTTCTCCCTCCGTTGCAGGATGGTGCTCTCGGCCCCTGAGGCCGCCCCTGGCTTCTCGCCACAAGGCCTCTTCTTAGGCAGCATGGTTATATGCTTCATCCGAACCAGAAGGAAAATGCCCCTCTCTGGTCTGCTGAGACAGAACTGTATGGTGTGACCCTCATGTTCCCAGCCCTCCCAAGGTCGAGAGAGGGAGTTACAGGCTAGGACTTGGGGGCGGTTTAGCCAGCACCCCCTCGAGGGCCGGCGTCTGTCAGGGAAACGGAGCTCCTTGGATCCTGTCGACAGTCCTTTACAGTCTGGCCTCCGCCCACGTCTGCAGCCTTCCCATGATCACAGCCTTCCACGCGTCTCCTGCGTGGGCTTCCTGTTGCAGGCACCTGCTTGTGACTGCTCTTCTCTGGTGGGGTTAGGTAGTTGCAGCCTGTTCACTTCTGACTTCTTTTCTAGCTGAAGGAGCCTTTCCGTCCCATGGCCTCACCTTGAGAAACGGAAGCGTTCAGAGCTTGTTGAAGCCTTCAAGGCAGCCACCACGGCTCTGCCGCCCGCTGTCGCAGCTCTGGATTCGCAGGGGCCGTGAAGCCCCTGTGGCTTAGGGTAGGGGGTCCCCGCAGAAGTGGGTGAGCAGGGTCCCCTCTGGTTGTCTCGTCTCGGCGTCTGTAAGCACAGCTCTGCCCCTCGGGACACTGGTGACCACACTGCCGGGCCTTTGGAAGACGGCCAGCGTGCCACGTCCCAGATGTACGCTCCCGCCTCAGTGCCGCCGCTTGGCAGTCTGGGGGGCTGGGTGACGGGCCTGGGAAGCCACGGTCAGGGTGCTGGCGTCTGAAGACTACCAGGGCCCAGGCTTCCTGCAGGCCTCCAGCCGATCCCCAAGTTCCCATTCCCAGACGGGCACGTGTGAGGGAGAGCCGCGGCAGCTATTGCTCATCTAGCCCTAATCTAACCAAGACCACATCCTGATTCCTTGATAAACTCACCCTCCTGCCTGCTAACCCTACCTTGTGGCTACACGGATGTGTCCATGAAGTCACTCATTCAGCAAGTCCTCACTCCCTGTCCAGACCACCACCAAACGGTACAAGATGGTGGCCGCGTGTCCTCGGTACCGTGACAGACCACGACCATAAAAATTACCGTGTATTTCAATGAAGACAAAAGACAAAAAGACATTCGGCCACGTTATACGTCTTTATGAGCGGGAGGCACCTGGAATTCTAAGATGCTCAAATGTTAGAATCGGGAGCAGAGCTTCCCAGTGGAGGTGATGCCGGAGTCACATCAGACAGGATGGGTAGAGTGTAGCTGGCCACAGAGGGAGGGAGCCATCAGAAGGGGGTGCTCGTGAAGACCCGGAGCAGTTTGGCGTGACCGGAACCCGGGAGAACTGCTGGAGTTTGAGGCTGTAATTCTGGGTTGCAGCTTGGATTTGAATCTGTGTATATACTCCGCAGGCTTTGGACTTCAGTCTGTGTGCGTCTCTGAGCCCTCGCAGGTTGCGGTGGGGGGGGTGCAAGAGTCCAGCAGGATGAGACCGGTGGCAAGGGAGGCCAGTGTCCACTGCGTTCCAGGCCCTGGCAACAAACAGGAGGACAGAGCTTCAACCCCGAGGTGGGGGGGCTGGCAGGAGCATAGAGTCTGCATTTCTGAAACTACGTGGTGAGGACAGGGCAGCCAGTCCGTGCAGGGGAAATGTTGTGCTTGCAGGAGGGGTGGGTGATGAGGGGCCAGCATCAGAGCTGCTGCAGGTGCCTGGACACTCAGGGCAGGAATAGTCCAGGGTAAGCGTACTCGGATTTCTCTCGTGTCTGGGGTGTTCCTGTCTTCCGTGTGGGGCTGCTTTCTAAGCTTGAAGGACTGCCCCCCTCCTCATGCTCTGTTGAGGCCAGCAGGAGGAGTGCTTGGGGAGACCAGGAGGTTCACGTGTGTGATGAATTCTGCACTCACCTGCTTCTTTCAAAATAGGTTACCCGCTGTTGGTGATAGGCCTTTTCCCCAAGCCAGGGCCGTCCCCGCGCACCTCAGCCACTGCCGCGTGCCCTGAACCAGGCGTCAGACGATGCAGCAGGAGGGACGTGCCGTGCGCCCGGGCTCAGTTCACGAGTGCCTCTGGGGAGCCACGGCCGACGTCCTGCTCTGTGTGCTGCCACGGGACCAGCTCAGCTGCACCGTGCTCTGTGCATTCAGAGCAGGCAGGACAGCCTGCTTTAGGAAACGTGGCACAGATAGAACCTATCACTTTTCTCCTCCGGCGTAAGCACTCTTTTTCTGGTTTCTTTCTTCTCTTTGTTTAATCTTTGCAGTCGCAGGTAGATGTAGTTTTTTCCATGGTGTATTAGCATGTTGCCACTGGGTATTTGTTTGCTATCTGAAGACTTGTCTGACTCCTCTCAGTAGGCTGCTTAAACCTTCTCCAGACAGGAGTGGACGGTGTGGGGAACCTGTGAAGTGCAAGCCCTTGGACCAGCTCACAGCATGGCTGCGTGGCGTGCCCCCCCAGCGGTGCTCACGTGAGGCTCTAGGTTTTGATTCATGGAGGGCTGGAGCTCCACACGTGTCCCCTTGTGTGGCCCAGCTGAGCATTCCATGCTGTTTTCTATGGGAGTGGCCAGAAGTTACTCCACCCAGCTGTTTGAGGAGCAGCATCTCTCATTAGTGAGCTCTGCACGTGGGGCCCGTCCCTCCCAAGGAGACCCTGCACGAGGCAGGGTGCCGCTTGCTCAGTTACAGCACCTGGCCTGTCCGCGGTGGTCGGATCGGCTGGTGTGCGTCTCACCCTGGGCGCCCTCACCGACACCTTGGCCCCCAGCTGGTGCAGACAGCCCGTGGAGGCTGGCCAGGGTATCGGCCACACAGTGAGTGGCTTGTGCCCAGCACCAGGTGCCCGGGCTGCTGGGTCCCCACTGCAGTGGCACCTATCCAGATGTGATTGTGACTCAGTCCTTGTTTTTTCAGACGATTTGTATAAGGTGGTAATTCCATAGGCCACCATAAATTGGAGCAATTGTAAAATACTTCTTGGAGAATAACGTGTTAACCATTGAACTGGTAGGTCTTTGCTGGGATTTACAATTTTTAATTTCTTAGCAAAGCCTCAAGAGAAAAGAAGTAAGATGTTTGGCCAGGACCACTGTGCTTGTGGTCAGCTCGTCTCACTGGTGTGACAAGATGCAGATGTGCCCGTCGGTCCCTCGTGGCTCTCTTGACCTTCTGTAAGTGCTGGCTCTGTCCCACCCTCCGCACACCTCCCCGCCAACAGAAGACTCCGATGCCTATCTGCTTGGACACATCACACGCTGGCCGTGGGCTTTTTCTCCTCTATGTGCTGTGGATTTTACATCTAACCTCACACCCGTTCTGGGGAAGCGGCCAAGGGAAGCTTGTCGCTGGCCCAGCGTCCTAGAGCTAGGACCAAAGGGACAGAAGCCTAGGAGACGCAGGTCCTTCCACCTGAGCAGCTGCTTTGTTGGTCTGCACAGATGGAGCGCCATCCGCACGCAGCTGGGGAGACTGACTGAGCACACGTGTGAAAGGTGCTTCGTAAGCCACGAGGCAGCAGGCAAACATTTAGGACCATGACTTTGCACAAACCTATGACGGCCGTGCTCCAGGCATTTGGCCGTGGTTTGCTCTGAGAGCCCATAATGGGGTTTCTTTTTCCTATAAGCAATATTTTGAGCCTTTCTTAAAAAGCATATTCTAATTATCAAGCTGAGAGCGTTCCTAATTTGGTGCATGAATGGGATTTCACGTCAGTTCTCACTGAGGCTGTAAGTTAAAGTTAGACTTCAGCCACCTCCCTGTAGCTGCCCGTCCCCTGGTGCTATGAACAGTCGGCCTGCTTCCCCACCACTGGGACAGCCTGGCTCACGATCGGCCCCTCTGTCCTCTGGGAGAGGACCCTAGGTCCAGCCGCCCAGAAGCCTGTGACCTGGGCCTTAGGTCAGCCAGCAGGGCTCCTCAAGGGACTTGGGAAGGGCAGGGGCGTGCAGCTGCGTTTATCATGAATGCAGGGTGAGATGCAGTGATGGAGAAAACCCACGTCTCTGGTCCTGTGACAACCGAGTGGTGGGCAGTGTTGTGTGTCAAGGGTGGCAGTGAAGAAGTTAGAACTGCAGTGACTAAACTGGCCGGCATTCGTCATGTTTTCCTTAGCAGATCTGCACAGACTCACTAGATAGTGTTTTATTTTTAAAGAAGATTAACACATGCTGGCAAGATCATTGCAGACAAATGGTAAGCGTACTGACTTTCTATTAACCCTTGTTTTTAGGTACATGTGCTGTCCCGGCACCTTCATCACCACTGCTCTGCTGTCTGGTCTCCCCTGCACACTCCCTCTTGGTCCTGTTCACCTCTGGTGGAGCCAGACAGACGGGAGATGGCATAGCGGGGAGGATGTGCCCCTTTTAATACAGCTGTCTTTTTTTCTTTTTAATCAGAGCATGGCCTCATCCACCTTCCCTTACCCACCTAAAGATGGTGTGGGCCAGACTGTGGGCTGAGATAGGGAAGTTCTGTTTAGGGTCAAATGCTTCCATCCAGCTCAACGTAGCTGAACAGCAGAGCAGAGCAAAGCAGGGTGTGCATGCTGCTGTTCTGGACTGGAGTGGCTGCTGACTTGATCTTCACACCAACCCGACATCTCGTGATCCCTGAATGGGTTTTCCTTGATCCCAGTTTGTGCCTCACAATCGAGCCTGACTTCTAGGTTTTTACGTAACTGGACAGAGTTTTAGACTTTGTACGTGTGTTGATTCTAATTTGATTTTACGTATGTGAGTTTTTCATGTGGCCTGGTTGTAAGTGAAATCATGGTATCAGTAGCTTTGCTAAGTGGGTTGAATTCTTTTGTTTCCTAAATGAGGTAAACAGGGGACAATGAATGCGCCTCTTTTCCGGCCCAGGCACCTGGTAGATGGTCAGAATAGATGAACGTCTGCCAGGAAGGCTTTGCTCACAAGTCCGGTAGCTTCCGTAATAAGAGGATCACAGGGTGGCTGATGATTCTGTGCCCTCCATGCTCTGCTTGCAAAGGAGAGTCAACCACGTGGCCAACAGCCTTGTGCCAACATAATAAGGACTGACTATTTAAAAAGCTTAAAGTGTCTCTTTAGGCCCATGAGATTTACCACATTAGTCAAGAGATGACCAGATTTCAAAGGTATCCATCCTGTAGGTTAAATGCTTTAAAATCCTTATAGTCAGATTTTCTGGATAAAAGAGGCGAAAATCATGAGGGTCTTGGGGAACATCAAGAAACAATTATTGTTAGATGAGACATTTACCATAGTTGTGGTTCAGAAAGCCTAATCTTGGATATTTAGTTAGCAAGTTATGTAAATAAATGCTTTTCTAATTGCCAGATCATGATCAGAAGTATTTTCCTGTTTTTGGATCGCACTTACGTCCTTCAGAATTCCATGCTTCCTTCTATCTGGTGAGTGAGTCCGTGAGCTGTATCTGCTGCTGCCATTTGGTCCTTTATGTCAGCCAGGATCTCGAGTGCACACGTCCAGACCCAGCTGGACCTTAGTCCTGGGGTTAGAGCCGGGGCGGGCCGCACCCGGGGGAGCCCCTTCTGGCACACTGCCCAGCTTGAGTGTCACCATGGGGGTGGCAGGCCAGCAAGGCAGCTCTGTGGGGAGGCCCGTTTCTGTCACTGGGCTCTGCGCGTCAGGACCGTCCGGAGCCAACGGGAGGGAGGGAGAGGCTGAGGCCCTCCGGGACCATCCAGCAGCTGGTCCAGCCAGTGGTCTGGTGAAGGTCTGAGGAAGACTGGGGCTGGTGAGGTCATGACCCGGGGTCCTGAAGCCCCCAGCGCCTCCCCATCCCGCTGACCAACCACATGCACAGAGACCTCCTTTCAATCTGCCCGTCTAGCATGTGGCATCTTTCGGGGACGGGGTGAATTAGGAGCTCCCCCCTCTGTCACCCACTTCCACACCCTGTACAACGCCCTTCACCACGCTGTCCGTCCCCTAAGCGCCCACTGCTGCCTCCACAAAGCCCTGCCTGACCTGATCAGACTTGTCCCTCGTGTCGTCCGCGGGCTCTTCCTGGGCTCTTCTCCCATTCCCTTTAAACCCAGGTTCTTTAAAAAGCGGCTTGCTTTTGCAGTTTCCTTAGCATCGGTTCCTTCTGACCTGAGGCTAGAACTGCTCTTCCTGAGGTGTTGGTGACCCTGGTTCCCAGATCCTATGGATACTTTTTATTTTCTATTACCTGACATCTGTGCAGCTCTGGACACTCCTTGAAAGTCTCCCCTTCCTCAGTCCCCCTTGCTCCTCTTCCCTCTCCAGCCGCTGCTCCCGTTTCCATTGTGCTAGACACCCACATGCGTCTGCAGTCTGCTGGCCCCGCACAGAGAGGGTGGCCTTTGTCCAGAGAAACGATAAGGGTGCTGTACTGAGGACAACGTGAATGGCATGGCTGCTAGTCTGTGCCAGGCTCTGTTCTAAGAGGTCCGGCACCTGCCAGCCTACCGAGTCTGAGGGATTACCGTTTTCTCCGTTTTATAGACGGAGAAACTGAGGCAGAGAGTTCCCATAATTTGCTGTTCCCAGGTTGTTGGGCTGCCTAGTCTGAACTGTTAGTTCATAAACATGGTTCATAGCGTAACCATGTCAGAACCTATAAACATCACAGCATCGACGAGACTGGCCTCCGGCCACGGCAGCAGGTGAGAAAGCTACATCTGGTAGAGCCAGACTCACTGCAGGTGCACGAGAAATGCCTCAGTCAGGACACGGCGGGAGGGCAAGCCTCATCCTAGGCCTGAGCTTTGCAGAATGAGCAGGAGTGCTGAGGTAGGTGAGGCAGAAAGAGGTGGTAATAGAGAAAAGGAAGCCTATGTGGAAACGGGAGCTGCCCAGGGTGAGCTGTTTGTTGGGGATGCAGGGACATGCGGCCCACAGGACATCCTGATTGCTGATGGTGGGGAGCGACGGGATTGAGATTTTAGAAAGCAGCGGCTCGCGGCAGAGGAGCAGGTGGATGAGAGCAGACAGTGAGCACTTCATAAGCCCCACACGGGCCGCCTGCCCGGCCCGGTGTGGAAGGGCTTTACAGGCGGAAGAGACCGAATGTGTGATCCCATTTACAGTTAAGGAAGGACAGGCAGGGACCCAGAGGCACTGCGAGCCAGGGGTGGGGCCAGGACTCCGACCCAGGTGGCCGGCTTGAGCTGCACGGCTGACCCCTGCACCCGACTGCTGCGTCTTGGACGAGCGCAGAACACGCAGGCCTGCAGCTCCTCCAGGGAACAGGAAAGGCCTCCTGTGGTGTGTGCTGTGGGAGAGGGTTCACCCCAGATGGGGCTCTCCAGAACCCGCGCCCCCTGCACACTGTTGGCCGCCTCAGGCATGGCTCACCACCACCGCCTCAGCCGCCCGCTGAGGAGACCTGGCCAGGTCCGGGAGCTCGGTTTTGTCTGGCTACTCAGTGCTTGGCACGTAAGGGACCCGTGGAGGTGTTTGCACAGAGCCTGGTACCCCCCCAGGGTTTCTGTGCACAGTGACCGAGCTGGAGTTCCCCAGGCGACACGCCGAGGGAGGATGATAGACTCATAGAGTCACATTGTACGCTCCATTCACCAATGGACAGGACCGGAGAGAGGAGAGGCCCCAGTGCCAGGGGAGGAAGAGTTGGATGACATGCTCTGGAGAGGGGCCAGAGCTGGAAAAGGGAGGGACAGAGGGGCTGGGTGGGTGGAGATTCCTAAATCCCGCCCCAGGAAGAAGGATGTGAGCCGCAGTGTTGGCAAGATCCATGTACTTTTCAGTGACAAGCCCAACCCACCCCAGGAAACAGCCTTGAGGAAGCAAGTGCAAAGCACACTAGACTGGCCAAAACCAGAAAACACAACAAAGGCATACTTGACACGTGGATTTAGAGAGTTAGCAGATGAACAGTTTTGGGATGAGAGTCACAGTGTCGCTTGTAGCTTTACCTAGAACTTCTAAGAAGGGAAACTGAAATATAGTTTTGTTTTTACTGTTTGTACAGGGATATGGGATTGGAACTTTTTAGAAACCATATCATCAGCGATAAAATGGTTCAGAGTAAAAGTATTGATGGAATTCTGCTGTTAATTGAACGAGAGAGAAATGGCGAAGCAGTGGATCGCAGTTTATTGAGAAGCCTGTTGAGTATGCTGTCTGACCTCCAGGTAAGGCCTCCCTGCCCAGCTGCTTACGCTGAAACAAGTGGATGTAAGCAGGGTTTCAGTGCAAAACACGAAATCATAAACGTGGTGTGGAATATGTGCGAGGGGAGTGACTCTCAGGCTAGCCGTACAGCGCAGGCCACAAAGGAGAGAGCCCTTAAGACATGTGCTCGGCCCTCCCGGGAAAGGACGGGGACCTGCGGCACTCAGAGCAGAGAGCGCGTCGGGCAGCCTGGGCTGCCAGGGTCCCTGAGCCCCGGGGCCGCTCACTGCAGCCGGGCTCCCTGGAAGTCTTGGGTATATCAGCACTTGCTAAGGTAGGTTTTTTTACTGTAAGTGGTCGGTAACTTTGTTCATTTCTTAGGTATATAAAGATTCATTTGAACTGAAATTTTTGGAAGAAACTAATTGTTTATATGCTGCAGAAGGCCAGAGATTAATGCAAGAAAGAGAGGTGAGACAAAGAATTAACTTCTTTCTTTTTGTAGATGTGCATCTTAAGTGTAATTTCTAGAAAGTTGTCTTTCCACTTAAACATTTTATTAGAAGTCTTCTGAAAGACACAGTCTAGCTGAAAGTCTCAGTAACGAGCTTCATTCTTATTACAGTAAAGATTTAATTTCTTTTAACTTAGAAACTTTTATTTCTGTCTCCCTGCCCCCACCCTAAGTAAAAAAGCCAGTAAGGTAGCTTCTGAAATGTGTAATAAAGTAACTCAAGTTGAAGCAAGAGGATAAAAGGTAAATCTGAAAGAAGAAAGATAAGTCAAACACACCCCAAATCTTCCCTTTGTGTGAGACATTGAAAAAAGTTATTCCAGAAAACCACAGGAAAAAACATGAAGTAGTAATATGAACCCAAAATCTTGGTAACCAGTTTCAAAAGTATGAGAGCAGGGAAAGGAAGCTCCCCTGGACCCTCCCCCAAATGTCACTCATCATTGCACAGGATGGCCCGACTGTTGGTTCTTCATCCTGGTTTTGGAGAGGGAGTTTCAGGCCCCATACCCAGCCCTGCCCCACCACGAAGTCAGAACGCCAAAGACCCGTGTCATGGGGCCTTTCCTGTGCCGTCAGGTGACAGCAGGAATGCCCTTTACCCCTGGAAACATGAAGTGCATTTTGAGATCTTCTGCAACCGGGCTGTTTGGCGTCCTTGAATGAACACGCAGTCTTCTGATTAGCTTTTGCTGACCCTGCTGTCTGTGGGCCAGGGGGTGCGTTAGGCCTGCACCCTCTGACCCAGCTGCTGCTCACCTGCCCACAGGGCCTCAGTGATAGGAGGGACCCGTGGTGTTGTCCCTGAGCTTCATGATGAGCAGGGCACAGCAGTGACGTGCTGTCCCGTCCCTCCTAGACTTCCAGTTTACTCTCCAGAATCGAGTTTAAGGGAAGTTTCTTCTACATATCCCGCTTATCCCCCATTACGCTTCCCACTTGGCCACTTTCACTCCCCCCACTCATCTGTGTTAATATTTGGCTTGAATATATATTCTGCTTTCCTTTTTTTAATTTTTGTAAGGACAACAGTGTTTCAGTTTCTTGCATAACACCAAGAATCTTTGTTACCTAAAAAAAAAGAAAAAAGAATCTTTGTTACTGACATGTTTAAATGTTGTGTTTGGAAGGTTCCAGAATATCTTAACCATGTAAGTAAGCGTTTAGAGGAAGAAGGAGACCGAGTAATCACGTATTTAGACCACAGCACACAGTAAGTACTATTCATTTACTTGGTTCTTGCAATTTGAGCACAGTGAACCCTTTTCCTGGCTGGCATTCAGTACTACCTGAGAGTATTTTTGTTGCTTGTATTATTTGTGATCATTCAGTATTTGTGAGTGACAAGGGCTGTGTCATGAGATAGCGCCCAAACAGAGCACCTCAGGCCGAGGGGCTTGGCATTTTTGAGTTTAGAGACAGGGATTCTATTA